AATGCTGCTGTCTGCTGTACTGCTTATGGTGACAAAAATTGCCTGCAGGCTGAGAACAACACAGGGAGTTGCAGCTGCAAGTATGGAGCTTTGGGGTGTGGAGGCTGGAGTTAGCTGAGCAAAGGGGAAAAAAAAAATTTTGAACATTTCCTTACCCATCAGAGACAATGAAATGAATTAAAAGTCAAAAACAGCTTGGTGAAGTTTTTAACCTAGGAACATATATAAATATAAATGGGAAGCTCTTTATGTAAATAAAAATCGGTGAGATCTTTCTGGACATGACAATTGCTAGAGAGCGAGAAGAAAATCCTTTACCTGCAAAAGAAAAAAAAAAAAAAATTAAAATGTGTGTTTACTTTGTATAAAAACAAAACCTATGTGAGAAACACACAGCCTGCAGTAGTGACCCCACCCATTCAATACTTCAAGTGACGAATATTGTTCTAACCTGGCGACAAAAGTATTAGAGCCAGAAATACATTTTTATCTACTTCAGTCTATATATTTCAATACAGATATATGTTTATTTGTAACCTCCAGAACGATTTGCAATGCAGCATTCAAAAATACATTTGAAGCCAGAATACTGTTTCCATTTTGTACTCGTGCTAAAATGCATATTTTTGGCTTGAAAAGATCCTTTAAACTCCCAAAACAATATATAAAATGCTTTTCTGACAGCAGAAGACCTGCAGGACAAAATGTCTGTAATTATTATACAGGATTTATATAGCGCCAGTTTGCTCAGCGTCTTACAATAAACCGGGAACCAATACAGCAACAATACAGTTCAAAACAAGAGGGTTAGGAGGGCCCTGCTCCTTGGAGCTTACAATCTAAGTAGTTGCAATTCTGTTTCACGATTTGCAAAAATCATCAAATCTATATTCTCTGCAAATGTACATTAAGAATCCTAGTGCAAAACACCCACCCACACACACACACACACACACACACATACACACATACACATATATATATATATATATATATATATATATATATATATATATATATATATATATATATACACACACACACATATATATATACACATACATACATACATACATACACACACACACATATATATATATATATACACATACACACACACACACACACACACACACATATACACACACACACACACACACACACACATATATACATACACACACACACACACACACACACACACATATACACATATACACACACACACACACACACACACACATATATATATATACACATACATACATACATACATACATACACACAGTGAGGAACAGAAGTATTTGTACACCCTGCGATTTTGCACACCCTGCGATTTTGCAAGTTCTCCCACTTAGAAATCATGGAGGGGTCTGAAATTCACATTGTAGGTGCATTCCTAGTCTGAGAGACAGATTAAAAAAAAAAAAAATTCAGGAAATCACATTGTATGATTTTAAGAATTTATTTGTCTTGCACTGCTGAACATAAGTATTTGAACACCTGAGAAAATCAGTGTTAATATTTGGTACAGAAGCCTTTGTTTGCAATTACAGAGGTCAAACGTTTCCTGTCGTTCTTGACCAGGTTTGCAGACACTGCAACAGGGATTTTGGCCCACTCCTCCACACAGATCTCCTCTAGATCTGTCAGGTTTCGGGGCTGTTGCGGAGCAACATGGAGTTTCAGCTCCCTCCAAAGATGTTCTATTGGATTTAGGTCTGGAGAATGGCTAGGCCACTCTAGAACCTTGATATGCTTCTTATGGAGCCACTCCTTGGTTATCCTGGCTGTGTGCTTCGGGTCGTTGTCATGTTGGAAGACCCAGGCACGACTCATCTTCAATGCTCTGACTGAGAGAAGGAGGTTTAAAAATCATACAAATGTGATTTCCTGAATTTTTTATAAAATTCTGTCTCAGAGTGGGAATGCACCTACAATGTGAATTTCAGACCCCTCCATGATTTCTAAGTGGGAGAACTTGCAAAATCGCAGGGTGTTCAAATACTTCTGTTCCTCACTGTATGTGAGGTCAGGCATTGATGTTGAACGAGTAGGCCTGGCTTGCAGTCTCTGTTCTAATTCATTCCAAAGCTGTTCTATCGGGTTGAGGTCAGGTGTAGGGCAGTCAGTTTCCTCTACCCCAAACTCTGTCATCCATGTCTTTATGGACCTTGCTTTGTGCACTGGTGCATAGTCATGTTGGAACAGGAAAGGGCCATCCCCAAACTGTTCCCACAAAGTTGGGAGCATGAAATTGTTCAAAATGTCTTGGTATGGTGACGTCTTAAGAGTTACCTTCACTGGAACCAAGGGGCCAAGACCAACCCCTGAAAAACAACCCCACACCATAATCCCCCTCCACCAAGCTATACACTTGGCTCAATGCAGTCAGGCAAGTACTATTATGATAACCGCCAAACCCAGACATGTCCATCGGCTTGCCAAACAGAGAAGCGCGATTCGTCACTCCAGAGACCACATCTCCACTGCTCTAGAGTCCAGTGGCAGCGTGCTTTACACCACTGCATCCAATGCTTTGCATTGCACTTGATGTAAGGCTTGGATGCAGCTGCTCGACCATGGAAACCCATTCCATGAAGCTCTCTATACACTGCTATTGATTATCTGAAGGTCACACGAAGTTTGGAGGTCTTTAGCTATCGACTCTGCAGACAGTTGGCGACTCCTGCCCACCATGCGCTGACCCCACTCTGTCATTTTACGTGGCCTACCACTTCGTGGCTGAGTTACTGCTGTTCCCAGTTGCTTCTGCTTTATTATAATTATAATACCACTACCAGTTGACCGTAGAATATTTAGTAGCAAGGAAATTTCACGGATGGATTTATTGCACAGATGGCAACCTATCACGGTACCACGCTTAAATTCACTGATCTTGAGAGCGACCCATTCTTTCACAAATGTTTGTAGAAGCAGTCTGCATGCCTATGTGTTTGATTTTATACACCTGTGGCCATGGAGGTGATTGGAACACCTGAATATAATGATTTGGAGGGGAGAGAGAGAGAGATACTGATATACTGTCAGCCCAGATTCAGCCAAATGCAGCAAAGGTGATTGGACGGTGCTTCACAGTACAATGATCCAAAACATGCTGCAAAAGCAACCCAGGAGCTTTTGAAGGAAAAGAAGTGGAATATTCTGCAATGGCTGAGTCAATTAACAGATCTCAACTCAATTGAGCATGCATTTCACTTGCTGACGGCAAAACTAAAAAAAGGCAGAAATATTCACAAAGAGCAATTGAAGACAGCTGCATTTAGAGACTGGCAAAGCATCAGAAAGGAGGAAACCTAGTCTTTGGTACTGTCCATGGGTTCCAGACTTCAAGCCATCATTGCCAGTAAAGGATTTCGAACAAAATATTAAAAATGAACATTTTATTTATGATTATATTGAATTGTCCAATTACTTTTGGTCCCTTGAAAAAGGGGGGGATGGATACTCTTAAGAGCTTGAATATGTTTTGGCAAATACCTGGAAAAAAAAAAAACTAAAATTGTGCCTGTGTCCAAATGTATATAGACCCAACTGTATTTGAGCTTTTCTAAGTGCTCAATGTGGATTATTGGACTAGGTATTGCATTGCACCACTCCTGGTGACTAATTGTCAATTGTCTGATCCCTTCTAGCACTACTGCCTGATGGACTATATAAGGATATTTTGCATATCGCCATAATTTAGTGCCTGAATTTTCCAGTTTTTCTAGGACCTGTAACTTTATGGTTGTCTGAAAAGTGTTGATACACTTTTAAAGGGGCAGCTACACGCTTCATTTATAAGGGGCACAATATAAGCAATAATTAAGAGGTTTGAGCCTTGAGATCATATTCCTTATCTATCAAATGATGCTGGACTTTGAACCTGGCAAGGTTCGGAGGACAGGACATACAGGGAATCTGTATGACTGGAAGAGTAGTAGTAGCAGCATACTCTAAGGCTCTGACTACATCCAGGCAATATAGAGAGATTTATTTTGGATGCTTAACTCTTTCACTCCATGTTCACAAGGTAGATTATGTAATCTGCCTTCAGGAAAGGATGGCCTTTGGGAAAAAGACTGAAAACAACCTTGTCATTGTGCAGTATGAGGAAAGACCAAATAGACTTCTTTGCAGGAGAGATCCTCTAGGGAAATATCTCAAAAAGGTTCAAAGTATGGTTTGTGGAAGGCAGAGAGAACAAAGTAGAGATGCCAAGGAAGCATAGAGTGCACCAATGGGGGGCTTAATAAAAGATACATCTTGAAGAAAGGTTCTTATCAAAGGAGTGTGAAGCCAGAGGCTTTTGAAAAGGAATGGACAGGGCTGAGATCTGATCTTTGAGAGTGCCTAAAAGTGGCTGTAAAGGTTCAAAGTCATTCTATGCAGGAAGGTAAAAAAAAAAAATAATCTGTGTGCCGCAGCCCCCACAAAAAAAAAAACAAAACAAAACAAAACAAAAAAAAAAAAAAAAAACTTACCTGAGCCCAAACTCAATTCAGCGATGTGCAGGAGAGCCTCACCCCTCCAAGGTCTCTACCTCCTCATTGGCTGTGAGAGACAGCAGCAGTAGCCATTGGCTCCCGCTGCTGTCAAGCGCAGCCAGTAAGCCAATGAGAAGAGAGCCAGAGGGAGAGGTGTGTGTGTGTCAGGGCTGAGACCTGCTCTTGTGTGTCCATTCACACACGGCGCATGAGCTCAGGTGCCCCCATAGCGAGCTGGTTGCTTTGGGAGCACTAGGCATGAGGGAGGAGCCAGGAGCACCAGCGTGGGACCCAAGAAGAGGAGGGAGGATCAAGCTGCTCTGTGCAAAACCACTGAGTAGGTAAGTGTGACATGTTTGTTATTTTAAATAAATACCACCCTTTAACCAGTTCCCTACCGCGCTGTAGCCAAAGGATGGCTACAGCGCGGTTGTTCTAGTTCTGGGACGACGTCCATTAACGTCATTTCAGAACACGCCCCCTGCGCGTCCCCAGCTGATCACGTGATACAGTAAACAGCCAATCACAGCAGCCTTTTACCACGTGATCAGCTGTGTCCAATGACACAGCAAATCACCAGGTAAATACAGTTGCCGGTTATCGGCTGCACTTTCCTCACGCTGTCACAGCGTGAGGAAAGTACTGCCGTTAACCGGCAATTGTCAGAGAAGTGATCGGCACTGATCATCAGGGCACTGATAAGTGCCCTGATTAGCAGTGCCCAGCAGTGCCACCCACCTGTGCCCAGCAGTGCTGCCTATCAATGCCTATTACTACCCATCAGTGCTGCCTATCCATGCCACCTCATCAGTGCTTCCAATCAGTGCAGCCTCATTAACGCACATCAGTAAAGGAGAAAAAATAACCTGTTTGCAAATTTATAGAAACAGAATTTTTTTTTCTTTTAATTTTTTGCGCTATAAAAAAAAAAGCGCAAAAAATTTAAACACCCAGTCGCCATTAAATACCACCAAAAGAAAGCTCTATTTGTGTGAAAAAAATTATAATTTCATATGGGTACAGTGTTGCATGACCGTGCAATTGTCAAAGTGCGACAGCGCTGAATGCTAAAAATTGGCCTGGGCAGGAAGGGGGCATAAGTGCCCAGTAGGCAAGTGGTTAATATCACTTTAAGGCCAAGACTGTGGGAAGGCCAGAATGCAAAGCACAGAGTAATCTAAGATTGAATTGCCTGCCTGTGTTCATACAAGGCAAAAAAAAATTTTTTGGCACTTTTTGGAAAATAGGAGATTATAACTACTAACCTTTGGTTGGGATATAGTAACGTCTGAGAAATATATTTCAGAAGGTATAGTACCCAGGAGGTTAAGGTGGGATTTGGAATCCAATGATGGTTTAACTGACGAGGATTCCTGTGTATAGAGTGGAAAAGGTTTTTTCACACATGTGAAAAACAATTGTTAAATATGTTAATTGAGAGAAAAAAAAGGAAATCACAAATAGTGGAATCCAAATTGTTGGAGATTACAAATAAGGTAGACATTTTTAACCACTAACCTACAGGGCACTTATACCCCAATTTCCAGCTTTCAGCGCTGTTGCACTTTGAATGACAACTGCGCGGTCATGCAACACTGTACCCATATGAAATGTTTATCATTTTTTTGTGACAGATAGAGCTTTATTTTGGTGGTATTTAATCACCTCTGGGTTTTTTATTTTTTCTTAAACCAAAAACCACTGGAAATTTTGAAAAACAAAAGCTTTTTCTTAGTTTTTGTTATAAAATTTTGTAAATAAGTGATTTTTCTCCTTCACTGATGTGCGCTAATGAGGCTGCACTGATGGGCACCGATAGACTGCACTGATAGGTGGCACTGATGGGCATTGACAGACATCACTGATGGGCACTGAAAGGCAGCACTGATACATTAATTAAGTATGTGTATATCACCTAACCCCAAAACCCCTCAAAAAGTCACTTTCTCCCCAGAAAGTAATACAGTATTATAACCTTTTTGAAATTACATAAACAAATTCGAATAAATAAATATAATAATAAAATTCGAAATCAAAAAAAGTCCAATACAAAGTGTCCCAAAATTGTCCCAATACAAACAAAAATAGTGTCCGAAAAATGTCCAAATATCCAGATTTTGTTCATCCAGTAGGAAGAAATTCCCTTACATCCCGTAGTACCTCGAAAAAAAAACAAATTCAAAAATCTAGTGCATTACCTTTATAAATAATATATTCTCTCCGTGCAAAAAACAAAACACAAAAATGTGCAAAAACTATATATATATCTCTTCCGTGCACCCTTAAGGGTGTGACGTAGTGACGCACGCACGCAGACCGGAAGTGTCGCCGCGGCCATTTTGTGGGTTGTCAACACATGGTATATCGCATTTGCTTGATAGAACTCACATAGGAAGCATGTTGGAAGCCGGAATAATGAAATTTTAATGACCTTGGAATAATTTCTTTGGAGCATTTTAGAAGATCTCATTTGGATGCTGATATATGGATACAGAGGGTAATAGTTTTTAGTACTATTGGTGTTGGTGGATACACAGTGTTGCAGTGTTCACAGAGTGGTCACAGTTTACTCATATGTGCACGGAAGAGATATATATATAGTTTTTGCACATTTTTGGGTTTTGTTTTTTGCACGGAGAGAATATATTATTTATAAAGGTAATGCACTAGATTTTTGAATTTGTTTTTTTCGAGGTACTACGGGATGTAAGGGAATTTCTTCCTACTGGATGAACAAAATCTGGATATTTGGACAATTTTCGGACACTATTTTTGTTTGTATTGGGACAATTTTGGGACACTTTGTATTGGACTTTTTTTGATTTCGAATTTTATTATTATATTTATTTATTCGAATTTGTTTATGTAATTTCAAAAAGGTTATAGCACTGATACATGGCACTGATAGGCAGCACTGACTGGCACTAACTGGCACTGATAGGCGGCACTGACTGGCAGCACCGATAGGTGGCACTGCCTGGCACTGATGGGTGACACTTAAAGGCAGCTCAGATGGGCACTGATGTGCCATTGATGTGCACTGGTAGGCACTGATATGTGGCACTGATGGGCACTGGCACGAGGCACTGACATAGGGCACTGATTGACACTGACAGGTGGCACTGCTGTGACTACATTGATCATCAGCGCACACTGATCATCAGTACCCTGATGATCAGCGTACATGTCCCCTCTGAGGAAAGCCGATTACAGGCTCTCCTCTCCTCTCGAGCTGTCAGTGTGACAGCTAGAGAGGAGAGAAATGCTGATAATCGGTATTTCCCTGTTTACATGTGATCAGCTGTGATTGGACACAGCTGATCACATGACCGAGCCGACTTTCCGTCATCCGAGGGACACAGCGCACTGCCGATCACCGCGCAGTAAGAATGAACCACCTTGCGCCCGTCATATTACTATATGGCGGGCGGGAGGTGGTTAAAGAGCAGAAAGAATACAGTGAGTTATTTAAAATTTTGCACGATCAATTGAATAAGAAAGATGTGGAAATTAAAAAGAAAAAACATAAGAAATTCATTAGAGATATGGGAGATTATCAAAGCAACAAGATTTACAAACGGCAGGATATTGTGAAGGATAACTGCCATTCAAATGAGTCATCTCCTGTTACATCACCATTGGGAGATAAAGGCTTAATTAAAGAATCTCTCCATCATTCAACCCAAGGGGCAGTAAAAAAGAATAATTTCTCGTTTCAGACTAAGCAGGAATCCCCATATATGAATAATGGAAGGGGTCATTTTCAACCTGGTAGTCCGTATAAACATACATTTAATGTCCCAGTGTCAAATAGGTTCCAACCCTTTGAAGGGTAGAATAAAAAATTATAATAGTCCTAGAGGTAATAGGGACACTGGAAATTTTTTTCAGAGGGGGTACAGGGGTCGACCCCCGGGTCCTCCCCCCCCAGAGAATGCCATATCACCAACCCTATTGGGGGAAGGAAGGACCAAGGCACCCACCCAACAATTACAGGGGAAATTGGGGAAGTGGTGTTCCCCTGAGAGAGGGGGAGGGAGAGGGCCCTGCCAATTGGAACGTAGAAAGTCAAGAACAAGTAAAAGGGCACAAGAACAAAAGGAAGAGGAAAGAAACGTAGGTGAAGGTATTTATAACCTAAGTTCCCTTCCTCTGACAAAAAATGAGATTAATGTTTTAGATAATGGTCTTAAGTTTTCTCTGAAAGCGAATTTAAATAAATTCGAAGCCTATATTGATATAAATAGATATATTGGAAAAAAAACTTAAAGAAATATTTTGCGTCTTTGCCGGGACCTTCTTTGTCCGCTAATCGTAATACAAAGTTGAATTATGTACATAGTGACCTAAAGAACAAGTCCAAATTTAATCCTGTGAATTCGAAAAGTCGAAAATCTAAATATTGAAGTTTTTAAACCGATGGTCATTGATGCCCTATATGAATTAAATTAAGAAAAATTCAGAGAAGAAAAGATGTTTCATCAAGGTCTACTTTCCCTTAAAAATAGGAAGAATATAGTGATTAGGCCTGCTGACAAGGGAGGAGGAGTGGTAGTGATGGACAGGAACAGATATGAAGAAGAAATGGAACGTATTTTAAGTGATTCAGAGACTTAAACATTTTTTTAAAAATCCGATATGTACTTATAAGAAACAGCTTCAGAGAATAATAGATAAAGCAAAAGGAAGAGAAGATTTTATATGAGAAGGAAGCTAAATATTTGATTCCCGCTCACTGTAAAGTACCTTTTTATATACATATTACTGAAAATACATAAAAAAGTCTTACGAAACCTCCGGGGACACCCATCATAAATGGGATTGGCTCCATCCATTCGAGAATTGGACAATATATAGATTTTTATCTACAACCCGTTGTGAAAGATGCCCTCATATTTAAGAGATAGTCAAGATGTTATTGACTTGATTGAAGGGATGGTAGTAACTGAAGAAACTTATTTAGTAAGAATCGATGTGAACACACTCTATAACTAGTATCAGGCATAATGATGGAACTAATGTCATAAAATGGGCTTTCAGAAATTATACTGACTTACACATTAAACAAAGGAAATTGATTTTAGAATTATTGGAATTCAGTATGAAGAAAAATTATTTCTGGTACAAAGGAGACTACTACGAGCAGAAAAAGGATGTAGCGATTGGCGCAAAATTTGCACCCAGCTTGGCAAATATTTTCTTAGCACAATGCGAACACAAAGTCATTTATGGAAAAAAGTGGTAGGGGCTTAGGATTTGGAAAAGATTTATTGATGACAACCTGGAAGGTAAAGGCAGAGAATTTCAAAAATCTTTTTGGAATATATTGATAAAAATGAGTACAATTTGGGTTTTACACATAATATTAGTAATGATTCGGCGAATTTTCTTGATCTTAATATTTTTTAAAAAGATAATAAATTAGGTTTTAAAACATTTTTTAAAGAGACAGATTGAAATGGGTATATCCCGACTAGTAGTTGTCATCACCCACAATGAATCCAAGGGATACCAAAAGGGCAGTTCACACAAATTATGAGGAATTGCTCTAGGTTGGAGGACTATATTGCACAATCCGACCTGATTAAAGAAAGATTTATTCAAAAAGGTTATGACCCAATACGATTGGAAAAAATTAGGTACAAAATAAGTCCAAATTATTTGGGAGCTAGAAAAATCAAAAAGGAATAAAGGGGTGAAAGAAACAGGAAATAAGAAAGCAGAGTATGCTTTTATCTCACGGTTTAACTGTCAATTTAGAGATGTAGAAAATATTTTCAAAAATATTGGCAGATTTTGAAAAAAGATGGGATTTTAGGACCTACTCTCCCCAAAAAAAAAAAACAAAAACAAAAAAAAAAAACGCCATTTATAGGAAAAGTATTAACTTAAGAAATAGTTTAGTCAAGGGTGTCATCTCACCCTCCCAATGAGAGAGAGATTAACCACTTGACCTCCAGAGAATTTACCCCCCTTAATGACCAGGCCTCTTTTTGCTACTCGGCGCTGCACTAATTCAACTGATAATTGCGTGGTCATGCAATGCTTCACCCAAACGAAATGTACGTCCTTTTTTTCACACAAATAGAGCTTTCTTTCAGTGGTATTTGATCACCTGTGCGCTTTTTATTTTTCACGCTATAAACAAAAAAAGGCCAAAAAGTTTGAAGAAAAATAATATTTTTTACTTTCAGCTATAAAAAATATATAGTAAACTCAAAGTTGGTTATAAATTTAGGCCAAAATGTATTCTGCTACATGTTTTTGGTAATAAAAAATCCCAATAAGTGTATATTGATTGCGCGGGTCATGCAATACGGTACATAAATGAAATTTACATCCTTTTTTTTCCCACAAATTGAGCTTTCTTTCGGTGGTATTTGATCGCCTGTGCGGTTTTTAATTTTTTGCACTATAAATAAAAAAAAAGGCTGACAATTGAGGAAAAAAAAAAAAATATATATTTTGGACTTTTTGCTATAAAACATGTCCAGTAAAAAAAATAATAAATAAATAAAAATAAAATTAATTGGTTTACTTGAAAGTTTTATAGCGTTTACAAATGGCGGGAAAGATACTGGGATTTTTAGTTTTTTTTTTTTATACTAATAATGGCGACGATCAGCGACTTATGGCGGCGATCAGCGACTTATGGCGGGACTGCGGGGGACATTCTGACATTGGGGGGTACTGACTTGGGGTCACTGACATCCCCAGTGACACCAATACAGTGATCAGTGCAAAAAAAAAAAACCACACTGACACTGTACTAATGGCACTGGGGAGGAAGGGGTTAACTTTATTTTTCAGGGAAGGGTTCTGTATGAGGAGGAGTGTTTTACTAAGGGGCAGGGGTGTGTGCTGGATGGGGAGAGGGCTGATCGGGAGAGAGAAACTCTTCTGTCCCAATCAGCTTGTCCTCGAGCTGTTAGGAAAGTGACCGAAAGCACAGCTACTGCAGCTGTGCTCTCTGTCACGGATTGCCGCCGATCACCAGGAGATAGCCGGTAAGGACTGGCTGTGACCAGGCGACTGACATCCGCGGCTGTGATCGGTGGGACAGGCAGGGTGGCGCACCTCGCGCGCGCCCCCTACCTGTTTACAGAACACACATTTTAAAATGCAGTTTTGCCTGCCCGTGCCACCCTGCTGCCGTATTTATATTTACAGTGGCTGGGCGGCATGTGGTTAAGATGTTTGATTTGAAAGGGTTCTACCCTTGCAAAAAAATGTAGAATATGTAGAACCACTAATATTAGGAATAGAGTGATTTCTGAATTCAGTTCACACACAACAGGGGTAAGATATGCGATTAAAAAATCTGTTACATGTGGTACGAAATATGTGACATATTTATTGGAATGTCTGTGCAAATTTCAATATATAGGCAGAACTAAAAGACCGCTTTATGAGAGACTAAAGGAACATGTAGCCAACATCAAAAAAAGGGAAAAAAAGGAACACAATGTTTCAAGGCACTTTAAAGAATTTCATAATTCAGATCCCAGTAAATTGAAATTGTGGGATAGATACTGTGGAGGCACATTGTAGGGGTGGTAATAGAGTGCAGATGTTATCACAAAATGACATGTTGCAGATTTTTCAGTTGAATACTTTGAGAACGAAAGGTCTTAATGTTGAACTGGATTTAAATTGTTTTATTTCTGATTTGTAAATAGGGGAGAAATTTTTTTTTTCTTATGAAGATTCATTACTAATTAGATTAGTTTGGAAAATGGGGAAATATATATCTGTAAGATCCGTCAGTTTGATTATTAAATAATATTTTAGTTCATTTTGGATATTTTAGTATATTTTTATAGGAATAATTTAGTTTTTAATAAATTGAATCATGGTCACTAATTATAACTATGAGCATAAGCTAAGTTTATAAATAGTGCTTTTATGTATATGGGTTTTAGAAGTTTCATGGTCTTTTTTAAATAATATATATCGTATTTCAGCTATATAAAATTGTATATATTATATTATTATTAATAAAGATGTAAATTTTAATTGACCAATAGAGGGAGCTAGAGAATATAGTAGTTCTGATTATGTATTCGATGTATTTATATATATAGGTGGATCTTAATTCTATTATAGTTATTGATTTTATGTGCATGTTTCACATTCAGTAAAGTGAAATGTTACTGAGCACTTAAGGAGAGGAATACATCCGTGGTTGGTGAGGATATATTAGGTAGTAATAGAAGGGATGGAGTGGCTCAGTGCTTATCTTGTAATGTGAAAAGTACTTTTAATATATATGTATTATTCTGTTTATTGCTATTGATCGTGCCAGCCATATGCTGTAAGTTTATATATTATTGCGATGGTCACCCCTGCTTAAGATGGCGGTTGAAGCTTCCTGCCAGTAATATAGAGCAGGAAAAGAGGAGCCGCCTCGCAGACGTCAGGATCCCTCGAGAAGAAGTCCGGAA